AACATTATTTAAGATTTATTTATTGAAAATTTCACAACATTATTTTAAAAGTTATTTATTGAAAATTTCACAACATTATTTTAAAATTTATTTATTGAAAATTTCATAACATTAATTTACAATTTAATAGTTTAAAATTTCACAACATAATTTTTAAATTTATTTATTGAAAATTTCATAACATTATTTTAAAATTTATTTATTGAAGATTTCATAACATTATTTAAAATTATACATTTTGCTGCTACTAATAGCAGATTTTTCAATTATTTATAGCCTTTGCAAAACCTCCTTATATTTCTTAAGAGAAAAAAATTCATATGAAATATCTTTTTTAAATCTCTCTAGTTCTAATCTTAATTCATAAAAATTAAATAAACAAAAACATAAGAGTTAACATTGATATTATAAGTTAGAATTTTTATTAAACGTAATAAAATGCAGAATACTGATTTATTTGTTATTTTGAATTACTCCAATAATAAAAAATATATAGGATCTGTCATTGACTTTTTATAAATAAAGTTTTTTCTTATATTTATATTTATTTCATAATTATATTTTACTAAATCGATAATTAATTCATTAGATTTTAATGAATTTAATTTATGAAATCAAAAAGAAGCAAAAGTAAAGATTAAGTTGAAAAATAAGTCAAATGTAGCAAATTTATTTATTATAGTTGAGTACATAGGAAATAATTTAAGATCAATAAAATTTTTTGTGGAATATACAAAAGACAAATAGATAAAATATATTTTGGATGGAAATATATTGAGAGAGTAATTCCTAATTCTATAAATAAATTAGATAATAAATCATTGATACGAAAGTTTAGCCTGAGATTATGAGAAACTTGGAATAAGTTAAATATCTTAGATGGGAAGGTGAATTGGGAAAGAATAAATAGAAAATTAAAAAATGGAATGCTTTTTGGAGAGAATCTAATTTACATTTTGGAGGAATGTATAATGAAAACGGGTAAAAATAAGGAAAATGGGTAGATTTATTCCCAAATTTCTTTGAGTAAATTTTTCATTTACTCAAATTAGCTTATGTAAAGTTACTATTTAAGGAATGTATAAATAAGGTTTAAAATAAGGAGAATGGGTTTATTATTTTGAAAATTAACAAATGTAAGCTTTTAAAAACTAATTATAGAGCTAATGGAATTTATAATGAAAATGGATAAAAAAATGGAACTTGGGTTGAACTTTGCGATTTCTATAGCAGATTAAAATATATTAATTGTTAGAGATAATAGTATAACTTATAGAGGAAAATATAACAATGGGGTAAAATTTGGAAGGTGGGATACTTATTATTAAATTGACTTTTTTGATGAAGCTAAATTGATGTGTGTTTATCAATTTATATTAATAGTGGCGGAGGAGAGTATAATAAATAAGGAGAAAAAAATGGGAGTTGGATTGAAATACATGAAAAGGATTTTAGGTTATTGAATAGTTATAAAATTTAGTACATGTGACCTTTATTTTTTAGGAAAATATAATCATGGCAAGAAATAAGGAAAATGGGAAACGTAATTTAAAAATTTGACAGATGATATAGAATTTTATATTATGTAACAAGAATACAAGCTTAATCTAGTGGAGGAGGTTCATATGATGAAAATGAATTAAAGACAGGATTATGGATAGAAATTTATGAAAATTTTAATGAGTATTAAATCGATATTTATAATAGCATATCCTAGATTATTTTGGAAGGTGAATATATTTAAGGGAGAAAATAAGGAAATTAGACAACTAAATTTAGATTAAATTAAAACCATAAATTCATTATAATGTATTAATCTGCTTATTGATATTTAGAGGAGGAGGAGATTATGACAATCATGGAAGAAAAATTGGCAAATGGAAGGATATAATTGATAATTTTTCAATGTAAAATTAATAATTTAATCCTTTTGCAATTAGAGAAAACTAAGTAATTGAGACTGGAGAATATGAAAATGGAAAAAGAAAAGGGAAATGGATAACGAAGTATAGGTATAAAATAAAGGAGACTTTTATTAAATTGTAATAATTATTATTATTTGAAGTGGTGAAGGTATTTATGATTAAGAAGTTAAAAATGGAAGATGGGTAGAACCTTTTAAAAACTTTCAAAAGTATTCGGTTTGAAGATGTTTTCTTAGTTTTTGTTAAGTGACTTTGGTTGGAGATTATTTAAAAGGAAATAAAATAGGCTAATGGAAAATTTTATAAAGATATCACGAAAAAGAGAAATTTAAATAAATGTTATAATATTTTTTATAAATTTTAGCGGAGGAGGGGCTTACAAGAAAGAGGATTTAAAAATGGTTAATGGTTAGAATTGATTGATAATTTTACATTGTAAATTTTTATCTAAAATCAGTTCAAATTAGGTAATTCTGTAAGGAAATTATTTAAATGGTAAGAAATTAGGCTAATGGGATACACTTTATAAAAAGAATCCAAAGAAAGACTTTAAAATTATGTAATACTTATTTTTTTTCAATTTTTTCTCAGAGCTGGAGGCCTATAGAATGAAAACTGTTTGAAAAATGGTAATTGGATTGATTTGGATTTTGGTTTTTGTTTTGGGCTAAATTAAGTAATTTTTAAGGGAGAGTATAAAAATGGTGTTAAAACTAAAGAATTTGAAGAAGAGGTTTAAAAATAAGTCTGATTATCATAAACATATATTAAATAAAAGAAGATAAAATAATTTAACAAGATTTTAAATTTCCAATTATCTTCATATTCAATTTCTCGTAATAATTTTTATCAAGATTTTCCTTTATATAAATTCTAAATATTGCTACTCATTATTGATACATCCTCTAAAGTCTGGATTTATTTGAAATTAAGTATTAAATTCATAAATGTTTATGAATTTTAATTCACAGATTTTCTGATAACTTTAATTTTTGAATATTTTTCACAATTAAATTTAATTAAAGTGAAAAAAAAAAGTTTAAGAAACTTTGGAACTAATGCAAACTGCAAAATTGAAAATTTAAATGAACTTATTTCACTTAGTTATTTTTCTTTAAATATAGATTTTTAAATCAAATTTAATAATTATTTAGTACTTTTTTAACATAAAATTTTATTAAAAGTAGAAAAATATTAAACTAATACATTTTGAATTTGTGATATAATGCTTTATGATTAAATGTGTAATGGCCATTTTTTAAAATTAATAATAATTTAGCAGAAATTTTATTTTGACTTAAGAATGATAATTTATAGTATATAGTTTCAAAAAAGTTTAATGATAAAAATAAAAATTTATTGTAAATTAAAAAGTATTTATAAATGAGATTGGAAACAAATATATCAAATTTTAAGTTCCTAATTCCATTATTAATATTTTAATATATT